TTTTTTAATGATAAATTAATGTATAAAATAAAAATATTATAATCGCTTAATGTTGTTAAAGGAAAAAAATAAAATTAAAACTTATTAGATTAATATTAATTAAAAATGCAATTAAAAATTAAAAAATTAAAATCGATAAATTTATCAATAAAATTAAAAAATTCAAATCCGCTAGCGAATTGATATAAAAAACTATATAAGTTAGCTTTTTTAATCCGCTAGCGGTTTAGACTCTAACTGCTATCCATTAGTTCCAGACTACTAAATAAAAATTTTACCAAACATCTTATTTGTAGCGGTTTTGAAATATATAAATTTACCAAACACTTATATTTAGCAGTGTTAGGTTCTCATTGTACTTTGATGATGATTTAAAACTATGATTCAAAAGAATTTAATCTATTTTTGTGCTAAGTGTGCAGGAAAATTAATTCAAGGATTCTAATCTTTCCCCACAATTAAAATTAATTCATGTTCCCTTTATTAAGAGTTCTGGGTTCGAACCAATTTAATTTGATTCGAACCAATCCTGAAATTTTTTTTTCCAAAAATGGTTCAAACCATTATTTCTGGTTTCGAAGCAAAAAATTCTGGAAGGTTAAATTTTGACAGCTCATCTATTCGTTTATTCTTATTCTTAATGGGCCTTGGGGAACCATTGTCTGAGCACTTTCCAAAGTCAAGTCAAAGTTAGTAGAATAAGGTGGAATCTAATTGGAGCATTTGTGGGGTGGCTTTGAAGGGCTAAATGGACTTTAATTTCAAGGCTCCAAACCTACTATTAAATAGATCATAAAATCATATCTGAATAGATGAATGAAGAAGGATGAACTGCTCCAACAATACAGAAAAACAGGGTTTGTTTTTGAAAGTGTTCTGGATCTCTTTCTTCTTCTCTTCTTGTGAGCTTATGGGTTAATTGTTTTACAAGGGTTTTGTATTCTTCTTGGATTGGGATAATCCTTGAAGGGGTTGAGTGAGTTGAGATTCACTTGTAAGGGTTTAATCTTGCACCCGCAAGTAAGAGTTTGTTCCGATTTAATCTTGCACCTGTAAGCAAGAGATTTCTAGTGGATTGAACTCTCAAGCAAAGAGGCTTGGGGAGTGGACATACTCTGGGTTGGAGGAATCACTATAAATCACGGCTTGATTTTCTCTTCCCTCTCTTTTATTTTTCTGCACTATATTACTCTTGTTTATTCTACACAACAACTTATATATATATATTGAAAACTTCATTCACGTTTTTATAAAGGAAATGAAATGAGTTTTATATCTTAGGAATTAAGGAGTAGTTAGCTGGGATTACAAGCAATTTAGTTAAAACCGCTAATTGCTATTCCCAAACCACTATACCAAATGAACCCTTAGAGCTATTATAGTTGCACAATGTAAATTGCTGATTAATATTTCATAATCATGAAAAGTTAGAAACAAGTCCATAATGAGAGATTTAGTTTGTAAAATTTCCATTCTTGGACACCATTTCATTATTCAAATTTTTTCTCAAGAAGGATAGAATAGAACCAATCAAAAGGGAAAAGCCTAAAAAAATGAATTATAATCTGTCATAATGACAGAGATTATTTAAGTGATTGACTTCAATAATCAAGTTGCCTTAATGTAATTTTCTTGATTATCATGTCTTGGTCATTTATACAATATATTAAAAGATTTATGAGAAATTTAAGGTGACGTACTCTACAAATTAAATTTCTCTCAAGGGACCACTAAACATAAAATTTTAGCTTTAAAAGTCTTAAAAAAAAAAAAGAAAATATTCAATTCCAAACTTGTTATTCACCCAAAAAACAAAAGGAAAAATACTAAAATAAATAAATAAAGTCACAACCGAGAGAGACATTGCAACAGACCATGTGATACATTTGACATAAATTATCATCAATCATTGGCTTGGAAGATAAAACAAAATACAGTGTTAGTTTCTCTCAACTTTTTTCTAAGGAAGCTTCTCCCCTTTTTTTATTTTTCATTTTTTTTATTTGTCTGAGGAGGTTTCTCAACTCCTAAGCATGTGTAATTCCAAGATATTATTAGTCCTTTTGAAAACTCTAAAATATATGGGTACTCTCTAGGGATGGCAACGGGTCTCCACGGGGCGGGGACCCCCTTCCCATCCCCATTCCCATCAATGACGGGTATGAGGATTTCCACGGAGATTTTTGGCGAAGGATAAAAAATAGCCTCCATCCCCATACCCACAGGGAATGATAGGTCCCCACAGGGAATGATAGATCCCCACGGGTATTCGGAGTCCCCACTAAATAAAACTAGATGTTTGTTTCTTATTTGAGAAATTAACTAAAGATAGAATGAATTAAGAGCTTAAATGAACCTCAACATAACAATGCGATTATCGTTCACTGCAAATACGAGAAAGAAGCTACGCAAGTATGTAAACAACAAAAATCACATTCTGACAATCTTGCGAACAATTGGAGGGAAAATGAAATCGAAAATCATAAGGCCAAAGAATGAGATCTGCTTCACCTCAAAATAAATCATCAAGTAGATACTCAGACACTCACAAATACTAACAACTCAGGTTCAGGCAAACTACAAGTAGCTAATTGAAGAATAGAAACAGAGCTATGGACCCTACCTTTCGAAGGTTGCCGAGAATGATAAGTTGAAGGGAATTGACCGATTGAAGAATAGAAACAAAGTCAGTGAGCTACAGTGCAGAGGAGAGGAGACTAGAGTCTGGAGATGAGGAATCGTAGAGCGGATTTGCAAATCTCAGAAATTTGAAATAATCCTTCTAAAGGTTGGGCTTGGGCAATTAAGTTTAAGAAGATTATGAGTTGGACTGAATTATATAATTGGGTTTGGAAAAACTAAAAAAAAAAAAGGATTGATTAATTAATTAGGTTGAGTAAGTAAAAATTAATTGTTAATATA